GATTTCTTATCCTCCTGATGCGGAGAATGTGGAATGCGTTACGCGCGGTGTGACTATTCCTGACAGAGCTGTGAGAGTGAAGTTTGTGGACAGACAATAATTCCTCCATCATTCTTATAACCGAGTTCACGCAAACCACGACACCGTCAGCAACGAGAAAGTCGACAAATTACGGTCCCGACCACACTATGCTGGAGGAATTTGGAAACGCAGCTTTATTTCTATCGTGAGGCCTACCGTCCACACTAATCCGTCATGAAAACGGAGCTTTTCGAAAACACTCTTCAGACCGGAGGAATTTGAAAACGTCGGCCTTCCGTTTTAGTGTGGACGGAAAACCTTTTGAAAACGAAGCTTTTTGGAAACGATGACGTTATAATAATCTTGATATTCCTCTTCCCGAACGCAACTCGCCAAAATGACCGGTGATTGTTCCGTTTTCAAATTTGTCCGGCGTAGTGTGGACGGAAAACATTTGATTCGTTTTCAGAGTGAAACCTCCGTTTTCAAACTCGTCCAGTGTAGTGTAGACGGGATCTAAACAAAACATTTAATGCGTAGAACAATGGCTATAGACGCACGTGAGTTCGAATTAAACAAGACCAGTCTTGAACCAGATCTCCCATGGCCAAACAGAGTGAATGTGGGTACTAGAACAGGGTGAAATGACCAAATTTTGGGTTTTCTGGAGAACGCAATATGACGGTAAATCATCAGTATTTCGGTTTGGACCTCACCATTGTCTTCACATGCTTTATCAGTGATTCACTAAATAAACTGCAACGTGAAATTCCGCGCAAGTACAATACATTATAATGCATGAATTTATATAGCGCTCGTTTCCAGAGCTCAATGACGCTTTACAGTGTTTGTAATTAAAATTAAAACCACTTCTACTTAAGAATTAGATTATTCGGTCTCGATTTCTTTGAGGTGATAGTTGATGAGGCCGAACGCCGAATCAACTATATCACCTCATGGAAATCGAGACCGAATAATCTAAATGTTTTAGTAGAATTCTGACCGAAATTTGCTTCAAAAAACGATTCCAATTATTTCTGGTCTTGGTATTAAACTTCACGCTTTAGAAAATTCGCGAGAATTGAATTGTCAATTTGATATTTCCAGTTGTGTGCGCGCACATATTAATTCCTTTAAAACAAAAATCGAGTGTTTTTTTATTCAAGAAACCGTGAATGTCCTTTTTTTAGTCTTCTTCATTTGTTTCTAAATGTTCTTTCAAAACTTCGGATAAACGAGAAAACGTTGAAATTTTGTCGACCACACCAAGCCACTACACACTAATGACTGATAGTGTGCAATGGCTCAGTCAATCAGATTACAGCATTTCCATTAGAACAGTAGTAGAATTGTACTAATTACAGTTACAATATCATCATACGAATTAAAAAATGAAAAAGTTCCAGTAAAACAAAAATATAACTAATTGTACCTTATAAACCTTATGATTATAAAGTAGAATATGTACACTAGTCTTTCAATCGACTTTGTCCTCGGCGGAGTCGCCTTGCTTGAATAAACTCCTTTTTAATTAAACTGGTGTTAATAACACTGACTGACACTTAACTAGTACAAAAAAAAGTTGAGAAAATGAATAACAGCCATAATAAGCACGTTAACAAGCAATTTACCAAATAGAAGATTATTTTTTCATGTTATATTAGCACTCACGAGTCAGTACACCGCAATATCGCTATAAAATATAATTATTGATCACCGCAGTTATACACACAACTTAATCACGTGACCAAATTTTCAATAGATGAGTCCTTTTGTAATAATTTTGGGAAATCTATCTAAAGCAAGTTAAAAAACACTAGGAATTCGGCAAGATTTGGATTTTAGGCTTTTTTGGTAAGCAGTTGTGAAATTAAAGCCTGAAAAAAATCCAGGTTTGAACGGGATTCGGACATATGACCTCTGCGATACCGGTGCAGTGCTCTACCGACTGAGCTATCGAGCCATCTGGGAGATTGCAACGTTGTGAGTTCGTAAAATACCCGTAGATGGCGACGATACAAGTTAGTATATGAGAGATCGGATAAACCGTAATGCAAGGAGCACTTGTACAAACAGCAGCGGATTGAAGCCTGATCTTGGTTTAGACCAGGATTGATCAGCAGTGTAAAACAAAGCATAAAACCAATTGAAAGGCTGACCGGACGGCTGAAAAGGGTAAATTTAATGTCCAATATTCCGGTTAGACAGGACTAACCTTTTTCAGGGGCTACACTGAAGCTAAATAGATAGCTAAGCTTAGTAGATTAGTCCTGTCTAAATTTACCCTTTTCAGCTGTCCGGTCAGCCTTTCAATTGGTTATATGAAAGATCATATATTTGAACAGCGGAAAAGGATATGAAGACATGATTGATCAGCCAAAGCCCACGATCATGGACTGAACAGACATTAAACTACAACCTCAACACCCCCTCCCTCCCCCCCACACCTCAACGATCACGGACTGGTAAGACACTAAACTTCACACTCCCCAACCCCTGGGCACAACCGACTTGGCGTCTGTTTATGTTTGACGTTTTCAAAGAAAAAGAAGGAACATGTAACAGAAAGTTTAAAGTAAAACGAGAGGGGTATTTTAAGGGTAAGATAGACCATTCTTTAAGAAAAGCAATCCCCATAAAAGCATAAGAAATCCCAGTAACATTTGTAGGGTTGATTACCAGCCGCTGTTCCGGTAAATAAGCCCGCGCTCACCGGGGAGAACGTTTAAGCCAATATTATTCGACTGAGTGACGTGCTAGAGAGTATTGAACCCGCAACAGAGGAAATCTGATTGCAATTTGTGAACAAAGTCTACATATATGTAAGTTGAACTGGCTTAACCTCATAAGATGCCTTATTTTACAAAAACCAAAATTGCTCGTTCTATGCTTGCCGTTCAGGGTCGAACCGTTCTCTCCGGAGCGCTACGCGGAGCAAGAAATCCTCCATCGTTGAGCAGATTGTCGTCCAGTGTAAACAGTGACGCTGCAAAAGAGCCTATCAAGACAATATCAGATCTGCCAGGACCCATCAGCCTTCCGATCATATGGACAACTTGGACATTTTTCGCTGGAGCGAAAGGCCAGCCTTTTAGAAAAAGAATGATGACCTCGCAATTAGAAGACGTCAAAAAATATGGCAAAATATTTCGAACGCAAGTACCCGGTATGACGATAGTTTCCGTGGCAGATCCCGCAGATGTTGCGAAAGTACTTCGAGCTGAGCCAAAATATCCTAAACGAATCACCATCCCTGTTCTGGAATATTATCGCGAGAAACGCCAAAAGATTCCTGGCGTTTTCTTTGCAGATGGCCCCGAGTGGTACAAGTACCGAAGTGTGTTAAGTAAGCGAATGCTTCGACCCAAAGAGGTAGCTGACTATGCTTCGGGCTTCAACGAAATTACAACAGATTTTATTCACAGATTGCGAACCGTTCGAGAATCAAGCGGCTCAGAGAAAGAAAACGAAGTCTGTGATCTCGACAACGAGCTCTTCAAATGGTCGTTTGAGTCTGTCACAGAAATGTTGTTCGACAAAAGGTTTGGTTGTCTTGAGCCCGAAGTAAACGAAGAAGCACAGACCTTTATAACGGCTGTGGGAGAATTTCTCCACAATTTGATGGGCGTGGGTTTTTTGCCAACCTGGTTCTACAAGATCTACGAGACTCAACAGTTGAAAACGTTTCTTTATAGCTTGGACACGATGTACGAATACGCTGAATTGTTTATTCAGAGAAGAATGCATGACCTTGAAGAACAATATAAGAGCCAATCGCGCGATCCCTCCGGGCCTTCTGAAAGCGACAAAGCGGGTTTCTTTGAGTTTCTCCTGTCAAGTGGAAAGCTGACTAAAGATGATTTACTCGCAACTGTAATTGATGTTCTGTTTGCTGGAGTTGACACAACTTCCAACACGATGCAGTGGGTGTTGTACATGATGGCGAAAAATCCTGACAAACAAGACATCCTGCGACAAGAAGTATTATCAGTGCTTGGGGATACAACATTGGCGACACCGACGACTCTGGCGCAAATGCCTTACCTGAAAGCCTGGGTACGGGAAACGCTGCGACTCTATCCCTTCATAGCTATACCTCGAGAGCCGACGGAAGATATAATTTTAAGTGGATACCACATTCCTGGAGGAACAGCACAAATTAACTTTCTTTTCTTTAGCATGGGCCGAGACGAAGAAGTATTCGAAAACGCTGAGGCGTTTAAACCAGAAAGATGGCTTCGCAAGAAAGACTTTGTTTTAACCGAAGCAGCGGAAGCTTTCTCTTCCATTCCGTTTGGGTTTGGAACCCGAATGTGTCTTGGCCGTCGTATCGCTGAGTTGGAGCTTCATCTTTTATTGGCCAGAATCGTGCAACAATTTGAGATTTCTTATCCTCCTGATGCGGAGAATGTGGAGTACTATTCGCGGGGTGTTACTGTTCCTGACAGACCTGTGAGAGTGAAGTTTGTGGACAGAAAATAATTCCTCCATCATTCTTCTAAGTGAGTTCACGCAAACCACGACATTGACAGCAACGAGAACGTTAATAAATTAGACAAACGTTTAATGAGCAGAGAAGAGCTCTGAAAGTACGTGCGTTTTAAATTAATCTTCGCCATTCTGCACCAAACTAATTTCAAACCCAGTTCTTTCACGGCCAAAAAGGGTGAGATCTGGGTACTAGAACAATGTGAATTTTTTAACTCCATGTTGTATTTGCATACTTTGTCAGTTTGACGATAGCTTTAACGCCGAGAGATACATTAAATAAACTGAAACGTGAAATTTTCAAGTAGAATATATAAGCTAGTCTTTCAATCGACCTTGTCCTCAAAAACTCTCGTTTAAAATTAAACTGGCGTTGATAACACTGACTAGATTTATCAGAAGGAACATTAATTTTCAGAATAAGGACCAAAACATAACTCAGAAGAAGTGGGTCATTTTTAGTCATAAGCCTGTGCGTGAAATTGCTTTCTGTAGAATTAATCCAATATTACCACTACGGGTCACATAGTTACCGGTATATCTGAGTGGAGGAGTATAATTCGAAAACACTGCATAGTGACTTAGTGTCTCCCGCAGTCAGCGCTGAACCATGGAACCTCGGTCTCAGTGTACAGCCGCTATTTCGGGAAATGAGCCCGTGCTCATCCCCCTCGGGTGCGGGGAGGTACGTGGACCGGAGAGAGCGGCAGAAATATTGAGCCGAGACGAGAATCTAGATATAGAATAGATGTAATCTAGTTGGCGGCAAGATAGGTCAAAATATTGTACAGACTGGCAAACATTTCAAGACTCCAAGTTGTCTGCTGTAACGAGAGGAGAACAATAAAAATGTCAGTTTGAGGTCACTTGAACTGTCCGCATGCAATCCCGTAATAGCCGGGGTCCTCCCCATAGTAGAGGGAGTTGCTTTCATACATTTCTTTGTAACTTCTGCTGTGATGTAACTTTTGTCCGTACTACCTAGTGGGTGTCCGTAAGGGCAAGTTGTCCGAAAAGCGAGAGGCCTGGATTCGTGGCCCTGGATATTGCACCGCGGTCGATCCCTTTTGAGTCACGTGGTCCGAACGTCTCGGGTATGTCACCGACTTCGTATCAAGGACTCTTGTGGCCCCCACATTTCATTCTGTTGACCGTAATGTGGGCGGAACCTTAGGACAGCCGTCGCCGTGTTCGTTCGCTTCAGGCTCGCTTCCTGAGGTAAACATAGGCACGCAAGGCGTGCACGAGTTATTTTTTTGTGCGAATTGTTGGAGATAGAAGCATTCATGGTACAGTAATGATTTGGTTAATTAGGCAAGTTTTTTTCGGTTGCGATGTTACATCGGTCATGGCAAGATAGCTGAATAGTAAGCCATAAAATGTTTGACTGAACAAACTACAGTAATCTGACACGTCTCCAGATTAATGTAGATACCATCTTATTTTCTAACA